GGAAGGCCATGAAGATGATGCCAGGATCAGGCCCTGTCCTACAAGGGCAGACTGCAAGACTTGGGATTGTTCAACCTGGAGAAGAGAAGACTTCAGGGTGACCTAATTGCAGCCTTCTACTATGTGACTACATTACATCAACAAGAAAGCAGGAGAGGGGCTTTTTACAAGGGCATGAAGTGATACAACAAGGAGGAATGACTTTAAACTGAAAGACTGTGCATATCAGGAAGAAACTCCTTACTTGGAGGTGAGAGATGGGCAAAAGTTGCCCAGAGAAATTGTGGATGCCCCATCTCCAGAAGTGTTCAAGGCCAGGCTGGATGTGCCTGTCTCTATTAACTAAAATTTGGTTCTTTACTGCAAATTCTATTCAAAACCCTCAAATTTATTCTGATTTGACTGCAGTCATACTGCAGTCCTTGGCCAGCTTAGAGGAGTTCAATTGGATGATCTACAGTTCATTATTTTTCTCTTCACACTTTTTTGGGACTTCTGCTTAGAGTTGAGGTTTTCCATTCTTTCAGCCCACCCTTTTGGTTTCACTTTAAAAAAGGAGGAAAAAAAAGAGTCAGTGTGCTCCAAAGGACATGCACACATTCCCACCATGTGATGCTGTGTTAGGGAAGTGCAGCACTCCTCCAGGGACAGTGTGTGTACAGCTAGGCCCATGGATTTGGCAGGGGGCACCATGCCTCAGCCACACCCTGCCAGCCCTTCTCAGGGGGCAGGAATGCCCAGCACCAGGACTGGGTCTCATGGAGGAGCTCTGCAGGACCTGTGTGTGATGCTGCAGCAGTGGCATTCACATGAGCTGGACCAGGTCACCCTGGACATCTCCCTCTGGCACCCTGAGGCTCTCTGTACAGGAGGATATGGCAACAGCTGGGGAAGGACAGGAATAACGTGCAGAAAAGAAAGGAGAGACAAGCCTTCAGTGATGTAGGCATCTTCATGTCTTCATGTCTAGAGTGCTGAGCTGCAGCATGCAGATGCGGAAACCCAAGGAGCTGTTCGACTGAACTAATTTCTCCTTTTTTTTCTGTATTTCACTTTTTACATCATGTCTGGCTGGAAGTGCTATGATAACAGCTATCTTTCCTTTAACATGTGCTGTCTGCACAGTGATGTACGTGGAGCTGAGTCAGTCTGAACATTAACAATACCAATAAATATCTGGCCATGCTCTGAGCATCTGCCCCTTTATCCCTAGAGAAAGGTGTCAGTTGCAGAGGCAGAGTTCATCTTAGCTAAGCACATGATCCCTGTAGTTAATATAAAACTTGCAACTGAAATATGTCCTATAAGAATATATTTACTTACACATATGCCATGGTAGTGCACGAGAATGTGAGAAAATTCTTAGATTTTTGAAGTTTCCAAAATATCCTCTGCTTATATTTTAGAATTATTGACAGATTTCTTCTTGGATGTAATATCCAAGTGTATTTAAATCCCTGCAGATTATGCTTTAAAAGCACTCCAAATAAATGTTCTCCCATTTTGTTTTTTTTTTTTAATATGCAATTGAAATATTAATTAATCACACTTATCTTTCAATGATTTCTAATTTAAACAGTCCTACAGTTAATACTGGCTTAGAGTTAGAGTCACAGAAATAAGAAGAAAAATGGTGTTACAAAAATATGTTGCACCATTTCATCTTCTAGATGGAATAATGCATAATACATCTGTTAATATAAAGGTGATAGTTCAGCAGCTGTAGAAAAGTAGAGAGCTAAAATAGGCTATCATAGAATCAGATGAATATCATACTGCTTTGATTTGTAATTTTAAAATTGCCTTGCTGCTCTTTAGCTTTCATACCAAAACATTCAAAATAAGTTATTGATTTTCCAAATGACGAAGCACTACTTCAAGAACTCCAGGCAAGTAAATCAATGACAGACCTGTAAAGCATTGGATGAATGTCAGTATGAAGAAATTATAGCTAGCACATTAATAAAACTTTGCATTATCTTGACAAACAGATATTACAAAGATTTTATCATGCCCTAAACAGTTAACAGAAAAAAGAGATTTTTCAAGGACTTAACAGTAACTACTACATGAGAAGGTCAATATTGATCTTGAAACTTTATCTGTTTTGTCTGTAGAGAAACCACAATATCTTTCATCTGAGAGTAACTTCAGATTTTATTGCATGTTTATGTATTTTATCTATCTGGAAGTAGAAGTGACTTTAACCACTTTTCTGACTTTAAAGCATGTATTGAAAAGCCATCCATATCAATGGCACTCATCATGCACTATATTCACTGGACTATATTCAAGTAATGCATTTGGAAAAAATTACCCTTTCTTTAACCAGTTATTCTCCACGTAAAACCCATGACACAAAAGCAAATCCACTGGCTGTCACAGGGTGATGAGAGGCCCAGAATCACTCAGATAACTTCACTAGGAGATTTGCTGAACCCATGGCACTCACTGAGCCTTCTCTCTCTGAGTCCCTCTGCTGACTCTTTCTCCGCCGTGTTACAGAAACACCTCCTTCATTCAATACCCACTAAAATGGGCAACAGACATGCTTTTAAATGTGCTGTGACTTGCCCCTTAGTCAAGATCACACTTAATTGCAACACAGAAGAAAAGAGCACAGACAGGATTCGGCCCATGGCAACTTTGCAGCTAGAATTGTGCAGGACAAATAGTGTCCCTGCTCATGACTCCAAACCACTGTGCCCCGCACCGCCTTCTCATTGGACTTAACAGCTATTAGCAGCCCTTTACTCCAAGTAGTTTCATCAGATTGTTTAACCACTTTTTCTCTCACGTTCATTGGTTTCCACGACTCAACAGTACATTGATAGAAATTTGTGTCCTTGTGTTTTAAAGTATCCCATCCTGCATTTTTCCATCTTTTTTTTTTTGACCATTGATTAACTAGAGTTAATTTTCCCTGCACAGATAACTTTTCTAAATATTCCATTGCCTTTTTTGTCTTTTTGTGTTTTACAGAACAAGAGATGAAGTAACCATAGACACTCATGGTACTCGAGGTGTCAAGCTCACAGAAGGGCTCAACCATGTTTTCCAATTTGCTCTTCTTTCCTTTTTTATTAATTCTTAGAATTCAGCTTCCCTTTGATAGTTAATGAATGTCAGTTGCTTTTTAAGGACAATCTACAAAGACCTCTCTTCTGAGTATAAACACTCCACACGAATTTGTACATCTATTACTAGAGTTGGTTTTCTATGTTTCACTTAGCAGCATGGAAATGAATACTGCATTTTATCAGTAGGTCATTCAGGACCTCCTGGTTATGGAAATATCTCATTCTCAGTTTTAGTTTCACTGTCAAACACTCCCAATAAGATCAGTAAATAGTACTTTCTCATTATTCATCCTGTTTGCCCAATCACTCAGGAATTTACAGCAAAGAAAGGATTTCTCATCCTCAGAAAACTGAGCTGTTAACCTCCTGTTGCTACAAAAATTCATCACTGCTCCTGGCCTTCTCTTACTTAGTCATTAATCTCTCTACCCCACAAAAAGTAATTTGTTTTAAGGTTGAGATCGTTGTGGAAAGCTCTCCATGGGTGCCTCACTGGCTGTCGCATGACATTTGGAATTGAACCAGTGGGTTGTATCAGCTATTGCCAAAAAGGCTGAGCTCTCAGGTTTTTCCCAACATTTGCTTTGGCCTGAGATGTCACACCAGGCAAATCCCCCGCAGCCTCTGAACAGGGACTCTCTACTGCCCTTGGTTCCTGGGTAGCTCCTCCAGCTTGCCCTTCAGTATCCTGCCACCTACCTCCTTCATTGACATCGGCAGCCACTGCAACCACAGGGGTCAAGAGGCACCCACAAGATGCCTGCTGATGAACCAGACACCCCTGCAGCACAGCTGTGTTTAGTCAGTTTTCCATGACAGATAGGAAACGTGGGGCATGAGGTTGCTGCTCTCACTTGGTGGGACTGCGCTGCTCACCGTGCTTTGCTGCCAAGGTGGTTTCAGGCAGCACCACATCAGACACCATCAGAAGTCTCAGTCAGAAATAACATCATACACCACTTCCCTTGTACTGTAGCAGGGCCTTGTTGCTAGCCACGCCTGTGGGTTGCTGGAGGTGGTAAGCCCAACTGAAGGCAATTTAAAACCACTACAGCAGGACAGCTCAGGGCACAGTGTGTCACCTCCTGGAACTATTGCTAAAAAATATTTGTGATCGCAGTAGCTTGTCCCCTCATCCATGATAGCTTGGTAAGAGTGAGTATGTCTTCTGGCTCCCCTCTCTAAGTAACCAAAAGGTAATAAAGGGAAAATAAGGAGAGAGGGGACAATAACAAGGAATAACAGCAGAACACAGAGCCAGGATAGGGGCTACTTACATCCACTATATATGAACAGATCTTGCTGGTGTGTAGCAAGTGGCTGCCAAGAGGACTACAGAGCTTCCTAGGGTGGTTTTTAGGGAATCTTTAGAACAAGGCTTTGTGGAGCAATGAGAGAGTAGTAATTCACAGGCCTGAGCTCCCCTTTGACAAAAAGTGGTGTGTACCTTTATGGGACATGGAAAGAGTTTTCCACTCCTGTTCTGCAGAAGAGAGCAGCTTTCACACAACACACAAAACAGGAGGACAGGAGATAAGGATATGACCACTACAGATTACACTATTGTCCTATCCATAGCTAAGTGGGGCCATATCCATTAGGTCCATCAGCCTGGAGGCAATTTTACCACCATTTTGTTCAGTTTAGTTCTTATTTCCTACCAAAGTCCTAAACCAGAAAAGTTCTATTACTCCTCTTCAGGAGATAAAAGGCAGTCGCAGAAGCAACCATTTGCTCTATCAGTTTGAACTTCTGGCTATAAAAAGCCTAGATCTGCTTTCCTGGAGGAAAAGTCCTCCAGGACTTTTCCTCCCTGCAAAACAGCAGTGCAGGGAGGAAAAGCCGGGCCCATGGCATGACTCCAAGTATGATGATGCTCAGGTCCAGACAGGAGGCTCCCAAGAAAAACACTGACTGCTGTGAGACGATAGGCAGCCCTACATGTCTGCCTCTGCTTAGTAAGGTTGCTGTAGTGCCTCTGTTTGCCAGCTTATCATACGCACTTCTGACAGAAAGATTTGCTGTACCCACAAGCATCTTACAAGTACATTTAAATAAGACACTTGTGCGATCCAGGTTCCAACTTCTTTTTCAAAGTGCTGCTCCTGTCACTGGCACAATCCACGTGCCTATCGCTGTCCTTGGGCCGCTATTATTCAGTGAATAACTCTGTCAAGAGGTACCTTTCCAGGAGCATGCTGTAATCGGCAGTTCTGGGTCAAACCCGAAGAAGTACTTTTACCGAGAATTTCTGAATGTTTTACCCCGTGCCTCTCGACTCAAGCTCTCTGAAGGTCGCGTTACTGGACACAGCGAAACAGAGGAGAAGAGATGGAATACGTACAACCTCACTTGAACATTCTAGCCGCCAGACCCGAGTAACCCTCCACCTCGCATTCTTCTGGGCGTTATAAATACTCGGCGGTGGGCTCTGCCTCCTCGGATTTTCCCGCCGGCTGCCCAAAACGCCGTTTAAGTCTCAACCGCGCTGGTACCTCGGCGGCCGTGCCCCGCCGGCAGCACCCAGCCCCGGGGCGCTGCTGCCCCGGGCACGGCGAGCGGCCAAGGGGCGGGGTGAGGCGTGGGGGGACGGGACGGGACGGGACGGGACGGGACGGGACGGGACGGGACGGGACGGGACGGGACGGGACGGGACGGGACGGACGGACGGGGGCAGGCAGGGGCCGCCGGAGCGGGGAGCGGAGCGTGTCCGGCGGCGCCGGCGGCGCGGGAGCAGCGTGCCAGAGGCAGGGGCCAGGGCAGGCGGACGCGGGGACCGGGAAGAGCCCGGAGGGGCGGTCGGTCGGTCGGGGGAGAGGCGGCGGCGGGGTGCGCGGAGCCGCGGGGATTGGCGGCGGCGGCGGGGCAGGGCCGGGGCCATCCCAGCCCCGCCCGGCCCGGCCCGGTCCTGCCCAGCGCAGCCCCGGGGCCCGAGCGGCGCCGCGCAGGCGGCGAGGTCCGATGCGGCGGCCTTGGAGCGCCGAGGGACGCGGGGACGCAGCAGGTACCGGAGCTCTGCGCCCTGCCCGCCCCGGCCCCTCTGCCCCGGGCGGGATGCGCCCCCGCCGCCGGCCCGGCCGAGGTGCGGTGCGGCTCTCGGAGCGGGAAGCCGCCGCCCGGGGTGTGCGGCTGGCACGGAGCGGCATCGAGCCGCGTGGGAACGCCGGGTCTAGCGATCCCCGCACCCCTGGGTAGAGCGAAGTGAGAGAGCTGTGTGAGACCGTCGCGGGGCGGACACGTCGGGTAACCTAAACAAGACGTTTGTCAGCCCAGAAGGCTCAGGCCGCAGCGCTAATGGAAATTTGAGAACAGTTACTGAAGTTTGGAGTGGGGGAATGGGTCGGGAGCGCTGGGGGACGGAGGAGGAGGTTAAAATGCCTTGCCTTTAACGACCACGAATTAATCCATCCAGGAGCTCCCCTCTGAGGTGTATATGTGTGCTACTCGGTGTTACAAAATTCAAACTGATGTCTAAAAGCCAGAACGAAGAAAAGTAACTATTTGTTTTCCTGGGGCTGTAAACTGCCAGCACATTTACTTAAGAAAAAATCTTCTGCAAGTTTGTTTGAGTTCTCTAAGACATTTTTCTGTAGCAGATGTTTATTGTCTAAACTTCATCTGCATCTAGCTCAGCTTAATTTCAGTGGAAATGTGTATTGAAATGAACTGCTCTTTCTGTTAATGAGACTACCAGGGTAAAGGTGCCTGATAAACTACATGTGTTCACTTTTCATTTGGAAAAGCTTTACAGATACATAAAATATAAAAGGGTTTCACTTCAGATTTGCATTTTTGTCTTTCCCTTTGCTATTTTTAAAATTCTCTCTTTTGGCCAAAATGTGGTGTTGTACATGGAAGCAGAGGGAGAACTCAGTGTGGGTGGTGGCGGTGGTGGTAAAAGGGCATCAGGTTTCTTTGGTCAAGTCTGTTTGTGGCTGTTTGGAAAACAGGAAAATATGATTCCAAATTACAAGTCTACTGAATGCGTGGTATCATATGTTCTTCTGCAGGCAAAAGTATGTAGCAGAAGGTCAAGTTCTGCGCTCACTTTATTCTCAATTGTTGCTTTGACTTCAGGACTATTAAGAGCAGTTTGGTTCACCTTTTGAATACAGAAATTTCTTATTTCTTCTAGATATAAAGTGCCCAGTGACTTGGGAGAGGGCAAAAGCCGTCAGCTCCCTATGGCACTCGTGACCTAAGAGCCCACTGGAAAGGGAGAGTTCAGATGTATGGGAGGGAGCTGGTTGCTGAAGGACTACCACAGGTTCCCTGTTGCCTTCTGGCACTGGGAAGTACGTGTTCCCCGAGAAAAGTTGCAGGCCAGGGGAGCCAGTGAGAGCTATGACCCTGACTTTCTGCATGCACCACTTTGGGGTTCAGTTGGAGAAGATAGAGGAGCCGTGTCTTGCCATAGAGCAAGTCAAGAGGATGTGGCCTTCCACACAGCATTGCTTCTTTCTTGGGGTGTTGGGCAGAGGGACCCTATCCACCAGTGATGTGATCCATGGTAAAGAGCCCTGCTCTAATTGGAAAGGGTGCTTGACCCTGCCAGGATCCCTCTGCAGGAGTCCGCATTAACCTCCCTCCAGTGGTTAAACTCCAAAGTGTGCCAGTGGGTGGGGAGATTGCACAGAAGGGAAGATATCTTGGTGCTCACAGCTTGGACCCCAGCTGCTCTCTCCATCCTCAGAGCTGGGACAGCAAAGGTCAGCCAAATAGCTGGAGAAGGCAGCTGAATTGTCCTGAGCATGACCGTGGTTCTTGGCATTGTACCACTGCCTTAATTTGGTAATTTAGCGATCACTGGTTTAGCCAGCACATCTGTGAGAAGGTACAGCCAGATTGCCCCTGCACTGCAAAGAGGTTTAACCTTCTAGTGGTACCTGCTGGTGTAGAAATAGGGGTTCTCTGGTTTGCTTCAGAGGAAATAAAACTCATTTCCAGTGGTTTCAAGAGTCTGGGATGCTGAGGTACCTAACCATGGCAGTGCTGGGCAAGCGACATGCCACAGACAGGTTCTTCAAGTTGTTTTTTAAATATTTTGAGCTGAGGTCCATACTTTGCAGCTAGTATGTGACTGGGGCAAACTTGTTTTGAGGAGTAAATCGTTGAGCTGTCACAAAACAGTGACACATGTTATCCTGAACCTGCCTTGTAACTTTCTTGTTATTGTAATGCATACCCAGCATTAATTTTTCTAATTGTTAAAGAAAGACTGTTCTTTCTGAATTATTGGCTACAAGGCAGGAGGTAAACAAAAGAAGATATGGCTGAGTGATATTACTTGGAAATAAGTTCTAATTTATTACCTTATTTATATTAACTTTTAAATGTCTTGTGTGTGGTACTCTTTGAGTGTCAGTGAGAGTCCTGATAAATAATAATGTTACAACTTTCCTCGTCTTCTTACTAGCTTGTCAAAGATTTAATTTTGTGATAGTAAGTTTGCTATAGCAATTTTAAGAGAAGTAATTACTAACAGTGGCCGAGGCTGTACAATTTCTGCTGATTGAGTGCATCATCCTTGCTTTCAGCCAGGGAACTGGTATAGTGCCATTACCTTCAGTACAGTCATGACATTTTACATCTGCTGAATTGTGGCTGATAAACTCCTATGTTTGGCATATAATTTTCTTCACAGAAAGAAATGTATTTGCACTTTGATAGACGAGTGTGACAAGTCACTTGAAAATGTCTTAAAGAAATATTTATTTTGTTGCATGTCGTGCTCTTAAATGATAGGAATATTATTCTCTCAGGCAGTCATCAGCCAGTCTAGTGAGTATTGCTGGTATTATTAACAAATACTTTTCTAGTCAAATGTAATTGTTTATTTTACAGTGGAAAGCACTTGCAATTCATATGGACACAGTGGGATTTTGTTATAAGCCAATACAATGAAAGACTGTGACAGTTAATGTGTTAACAGTGCACAGATTGTAACTGAATTACAATTACACTGAACCTTAGCTGAGGTGAAGTTTTTCTGTTGAGAAAAGCTGTTGAGAATAACTGTTACCATGCTTCAGAAAAGAATTTAACAGCTCAAGGACCCAGTTCAGCTCCTGGGAAAGAAATAAGGTGATTGCTGTCATCTTCAGAGTAAAAAAGGACAAAGACACCAAGCACCAACTCTGTTTCTTGGACGTCTTTTCCTGTGGGCCTCTTCAACTGTAGTAATTTGGATCTATGAACTAAAATGGGGAAATAACAGTGGGAAATCACCAAATTGTTTTCTCAGAAAGTAATTTTAGAACATCCTGAATACACTAAAGAATTCAAGTCAGTTCACTGTAGGCTTTTATCAGATAACTTTTTTTCTGAAGGAGGGAATCAAGGAAAAGGAAGGGTGGGAAAATAGGGTGTGGGTCACCATTTAAATATCTTTACTTTCATCTGGGATGTGGTTTGCTCCTCCCCTGATCATCAGAAGGCACTTGAAAATGCATCTCTGACTTCTCAAGTGCCCAAAACAGTCTGTTGGATCATCAGTGGCTCAAAGTGTTTCTGATCTTAAGAAATCCACATACAGAATCATACAATCTGAGAAGATTGGGTTGGAAGAGACCTTAAAGATAATATTTTTCCATCCCTCTTTTCCTTGATACCTGTCCTTTGAAAGTGTCTTTAATGTGTTTGGAAAATGTTCATGACCCTTGAGTAAATAAATGCTATGGTCAGGAGCTCCAGCTCTTAAAAAGTTCCCAAAATTAAGTTATTTAATTTTGGGCCCATGAGAAGTGTCCTCCCATCCAGTACAATTATTTTCTTACCTTTCCAAAAAAAAAAAAAAGTTACAAATTTGGTTCACATGAAACAAGTTCTGTCCTCACCTCCATCCTTGTTTTCTTAGAAAAGTGAAAAACTGGCCATTTGCTCATCCTCAGTGCATGTATTTGGGGCATGAGCACTGATTGTGAACCAAGAAAATCAGAATTTCTGGGAAAGTCAAATTTCGTGTAACTATTTTTTACTTTTTAAAAAACCCAAGAATATTAAATATATGTCCTGCATATCTACGCAAAGGGAAAAAACCAGTAAAGTTAACTATAAAGAAAAACAACATTTATAAAAATATTACTTGCCATGTTTATTTTTAAAAAGGTAGCACAAATCCAGCTAATTTGAATGGGAGGTTGGCTTTAGGATGACTGGCTTTCAGTGCATCTTCTCAATTGTAAATGGCAGAAATTTATACCATTAACTGGGGGAAGTTATTTTAAGCACTGGCAATATGCACACTGGCACCAAGACTTGACACCACTTTCTCAGTATGTTTCCTACCTTGGGTCTACATGGCACACATGGACGAGGTTTAAAAGCATAGAGTTTGCCCTACTGATGTGAAGGCAGTGACGTTTGGGTTGTTTTTTGGTAGTGCAGTGTACACTTAGGTCTTTTTGAGAGGCAATGAGCACTTGCTGTCCACACTATGTCTTGCTGGGTCTGTTTGCCAGTCCTTCTCATGGTTCTTCTGTGTGTTTTTCAGCATGGTAATTTAGTATGGGGAAAACACCTTTGAACAGTTATGACGTTGTAGTGGCATTGCCCTTGTATTTCTGCACCCAGGCTGTGTCTGCGCTTACCTGCAGCTGCCGAGAGAGGCATGCAGCAGTGCTGGATCTCAGTGCCCCGTCAGTCACAGACCCTCACGCCTGGCTCCTGGGTGTATGCTGCAGCTTAAGCACCGGCTGACATGGGAAGGCAGTGATACTTACGTTGCATTTGTTGATTTTATTTTCAGAGCCTGGTTTGAGAGCCACTCTCCCGAGTTAATATGCGAGGTGTGCTGGAGGTGAGGATACACAACGCCTGCCCAGAGGAGCGCTGGGAGGAACGTGGCTTGATCTCCCTCTTGTGGAAAATTATTGGAACTATATTCGTGTGATACTGAAGAAAAAAAAACAGCATCCATCAGGAAATAAATGATGGCAGCAGTTACCATGCCACCTGATGCTCTTGTCAGCCCTCAAGGAAATGAAGAGGTGGACTCTCTTATTGTACTGCATTATAATTACACAGGAAAGCTTATTTTAAGGGAAAAGGCAACTGATAAAATAGACCTGCCCACTATTTCATTTCTGATCCTATGTAGTTTCATAGTCCTGGAAAACTTGATGGTGTTGATTGCCATATGGAAAAACAATAAATTTCACAACCGCATGTACTTTTTTATTGGCAATCTAGCTCTCTGTGATCTTTTAGCTGGGATTGTTTACAAAGTAAACATTCTTATGTCTGGGAAGAAAACTCTGAGCTTGTCCTCTACAATCTGGTTCATTAGGGAAGGTAGCATGTTTGTTGCCCTGGGAGCATCCACTTTCAGCTTGCTAGCGATAGCTATTGAGCGGCACTTGACCATGATTAAAATGAGGCCTTACGATGCAAATAAAAAATACAGGGTGTTCCTTCTCATTGGTACATGCTGGCTTATTTCAATTTCCTTGGGTGCCCTCCCCATTCTTGGCTGGAACTGTATAAACAATTTACCAGATTGCTCAACAATTTTGCCTCTGTACTCCAAAAATTATGTTGTGTTCTGCATTAGTATCTTCATAGCCATTTTGGTCGCCATTGTCATCCTCTATGCTCGCATCTACATACTGGTAAAGTCCAGCAGTCGTAATGTCACCAACCACAACAACTCAGAGCGGTCCATGGCACTCCTTAGGACTGTTGTTATCGTCGTTAGTGTCTTCATTGCGTGCTGGTCTCCACTGTTCATCCTGTTCCTCATCGATGTGGCCTGCAGAGTCAAGGAGTGCTCCATCTTGTACAAAGCCCACTGGTTTATTGCTCTGGCAGTCATCAATTCTGCAATGAACCCCATCATCTACACCCTGGCCAGTAAGGAGATGCGTCGGGCTTTCTTTCGCCTCGTGTGTGGCTGCCTGGTGAAATCCAAGGTGGCCAGATCTTTGCCTATTCAACCCACTCCAGATCACAGTCGAAGTAAATCCAGCAGCAGCAATACCCAGAAGCCAAAAGAAGATTTCCCACCGATAAATATTCCCTCATGTGTTGCTGAGAAAAATGAATCTTCATTTCACAATGGAAACTTCTGTAAGTAAGGGACTACTCAAGACAAGTACTTTTCTGTGTTTTTAGAAAAAGTGTTAAACTTAAACTACAGTTGTAGTTTAAATATTCATGCACTTCAGTCACAGGGGAAAACACTAACCATTTATTTAACTTTGAGAACTTATTTATCAACAAACATTTGCTTTGGGTGTTCATTCAGTAACACACCTGATTCAATAAAAGCCTTTCATGGTACCTAGCGGTCAGGACAGAGTCCATGCACAGCTAAGATCATCAAGTGCGGCAATGGCATTGCATGCTAATGCTTCATTTGGCACCTCGTGGTCTTGCAAGACATCATTAAAACCTGTTAGAAACTTCAGCATTCAACTAAAGACTGCTGACAATTGTAACATGAGCCTAGTTAATTGCCAGCTGGGAGAAGAATTCATTGCATAAGTTGGTGATTATAGTTCTCTGTATGTATCTTGCTGTTGTGTTAATGGCCTTATAAGTATGTGGTATAAATAGCTGTATATTTGTACAATCTCTTATTAAAAAGTCATTGATTGGTAAAAGTTTACAACATGCTAAACATTGTATTGCAGTATACAGTGTGACTAATAGTAGAAATAGATGCGTTTCAATGGGGATATTTAAAATGAAGTAGTAGCTTTTAACTGTCAGAAACTTTAACAAGTCATATCAATGCAGTATTTTTATTTTTTCCATTGTTATTCAAACTTTTTGTGTTTAGTGAAGGACAACATGGCAGTTGTCACTGTGGCATTTCACAACATATTTTAAGTAAGCAGTAGTAAACTGTTGAGAGAGGATATATATTTGCTATTTAAAGTAGATAAAATGTGACCCCTCAATACATGTGTAACAAGTGTATGTGCTGTTTCAATGAATATATTTTTGCTTACTCTTTTCAATATATTTAAAAATGTATGTCCAACCTATATAAACCTGTGTACATTGTGAATGCACTACCTAAGCTGAGATCCTTCAGTTCTGAAAGAGAGACGTATCATTTCAGAAAGCAGTGAACTACAGTGGGTTCCTGTGGAGTTCCTTCTTTCCTTTCTAGGCCCTACCAGAGTGTGGGGTTGTGTTAGAAGTTCTCCCTGGGAAGTTCTGCCAGTGGGACAATGTCCCATTTTCTGTCAGTGGGATCCTATGCTTCTACCATTTCTGGACACTTCTGCAGATGCAAGAGGGAAGATGTGGTACAGCAGGGTCATGCTCATGGGCATATCTCCGTTTATACCCGACCCTGCCTTGGATCTGGAAAGAAGGTTTTTTTAGTCTGGAAGACCTGGAGCCTCAGCCCCTTTTGAGAGCCCATTTCAGAGAGACCTTACAACAACTTTATAGATCATCACTGCCTTACCAGCCTGAGGACAGGTTGATGTTGAGTGTCAAAGCAGTTTCCTGAGTCCTGGAGCGGTAAAGACTTCACAGACGTCTGGTTTCAGGTCCCCGTGGAAGTGGCCTGTGGTACTTCCATCAATTGTGCTTTATGGCTGGAGGCTTCAGTGGAGTTTGATGGGAAATTCTGGGACAAGTTCCCATTGTCTCAGTAAGAATGTATACATCTAACTTCATTGGGCTCTTTCAAAGATTTGTGTTTAGTGTCTCAAAATACACTTTGCCTTATGCACAATCAGAAGTAGTTGAGGCTTTTTTAATACACAGCCTGAAAGAGCTCATCCTTAACTTTACTCTGGTCTTAATCATTTAAAGCAGCAGCATTAGACTCTTCTCAAATATGTATTCTGTATAAGTTGTGTATTGTATGTAGCAAAAACCTTTAAAATGTAGAGGTTTGCATTGTGATTATCTTTTACAAATTAATAGTCTGTAAATGTAGAAGAGTGTATAAGAACAAAGAAGAATTGTATTTGAATGAAATAACTGTGAAAGAGAGTAGTAAATATGAAATAATTTCTACCAAAAATGTTGAGAAGCAGTGCACTTAGTGAAGAAGAAAAAGCTAAACCAAGGTAAGCATGATATACCTATATGGATTGTAGATACAGGCTGCAGGCTCTGTAGCTTTGTCAGAAATAGAGCTGGTGACATTGCATTGCCATGGCTTGATTAGGTTTTTAGATTTTACATTGCTATTGGGCTGTATTGTGGAAGTTCTCCCCTGAAGCTGTGGCTTTTAAAACTGTAAGCTCAAATATTTGTGTACTTGTGTTAGTTGCCAGAGTGGTGGCACATGGCAGCTTCCTTGCTATTGTAGAGCAGATAGGCCTTAGGAGCACACTGGTTTGAGAAAGCATGGTTGCCGAACCCACACCAACCCTCATGTCAAGGATGTTACATGGTTCGTATTATATAGATGAAAAATAAAAATTTTTGATGGCCTAAGTCCAAGAAGATGTAAATAAAAGTGATATTTAATATCTGTGTTCTAGCCTTAGCTATTGTCAGTATTGATGCAAGGTACAAGTAATGCAAAGAACTCTACCATTAAAGGCCATGTGATTGCTTGTTAGTACGAAACACTTTCATTCTACTTTGATTTCCTTCTCTTATTTTGGAGCTGTGGGGATATTTTGTTAGTTCACTAGCCTGCTGTACTTGAAGCAGGTTTCTAAGATTTATGGCTTCATTTGTAACATTGCTAACACAATTTACAAAGTACTTATGATTGGAGAAAAAGCTATTGTCAATACAATCTTCAGTGAGTCCATCCCATTGGGAAGTACTAGGTAAGGCATAGATTGTGGAAGATTTCAGAGCAGAATTTAAATTAGGACAAGTCAAGAGTTTAACAGCAGTGGACCGTAAACAGCCAGGAAGATCACATACCTTTGAAGCTGAAAAAAGATGGAGAATATCTTCTTTCACCCTAAAATATTAGAAAATTCCTCCAAACACATCCCAGAATCTTACCTTTTATCATCCAAGGCTGATTTGAGCATAGAGGAAACCAAATTTGGTTTTCCTTTCCAATTGGTTTTACATGGAGCAAAGGCTACAAAGCCTTTAATTCATATTATTTAATGAATTGGCATATTTGTTTTTATTATGGATTATTAAATAAATGCAGATCCAGTCATCCATGGAGAAAATAAAGGTTTTTACAATCTGCTTTCCAAGAGTCTTTTATTGCCAACAGTCTTAGAGAATGTTTTCAAATCACTAGGTACCAGAAACATTTTGAAAACTTCTAGGAAAAAAAATTATTGAACCTTTAAACTAAAGGTGTCAAGTAACAGTAATTTTTCAGAGAATTTTGGAAAGGTTTTGGCCTTCTATGGAAAACATTCATTTAAACTCTGGGTGTTGTGGCTGAAGGCAGTACTCCAGAGGCAGAAGGGCTGGCTTGGTTGAACAGGGGTCTTCTCTTGGAAATGGGACTAAAATGGAAGGTGTGTGCCCAGTGGAAGCAAGGTCAGGTGACTTGGGAGTAATACTGAGATGCTGTTTGCCAGTGTAGGGAGAAAATTCGTGATGTCAAATCTCAGTTGGAGATGAAGCTGCCAGATATGTAGGGAACAATAAAAAGAGGTACTTCAATATCCGTGAGAAAAGGCATCTTAGAAATAAAATTAGCCCATTACAGGTGAGGATGGTCACGTAACAAATGGGCATGGACAAGGCAGAGGCATTTAATGCATTCTTTGCTTCTGTCTTCAACACGGATAACAGACCAAGGGAGGCTCTGTGTGCTGAGCTTCCAGGACCATGACTGCAAGAATGATCAATTCCCAGCTGACCCTGAAGTTGTGTGGGACTAGGTGCTCCAGCTGGATCCCTATAGATCTATGGGACATGACTGGGATTTATACAAGAATCCTCAAACAGCTATTGTCATTGCAAAATCTCTCTCAATTATATTCATGGGGTTTTGGGAATCCAGAGAGGTCTCAGCTGATTAAAAGGTGGAGAATGTTGTCTCAAGTTTCAAAAGTGGTAGGAAGAAGGACCCTGAAAACTACAGGCCTGTCAGTTTTGTTTCAGTGCCCAGTAAAATCATGGTCAAGATTATTCTGAGAGGTATTGAGAACCTGGAAGACAATGCATTCATCAATCACAGCCTGCACATCTTCATGAGAGGGAAGAGTTCTGCTTGTCAAACATGATTTTGTTCTATGACAAGGTAGCCCACTTTGTTATCAAGGGAAGCCAGCTGATGTAATCTTTTGGGGTTACAGCAAAGCTTTTCATAATATCTCTTTCAGAATCCTGGACAAAATGTACACAGCTGGATAAACACATCATGTGGTGGGTGAGCAGCTGGCTCAGGGGTCAGGCACAAAGGGCTGCAGTGAATGGGGTGACGTCAGACTGGGGACCTGTCACTGGTAGGGTTCCACATGGTCCCATCTTCAACCCTTGCTCTTCAACATCTCCAGAAATGACTTAGATTAAGTACTTAATGGAATACTAAGCAAGTAAGCTGATGATACCACACTGGGGGAAGCTGCCATCTCCCTCAAGGGCAGAGGGGCCCTGCAGAGAGACCTCAATAAATTTGAGGGCAATCACCAACTGCAAGAAGTTTAATAAGGGCAAGTGTTGGGTTCTGCACCTGTGATGGTTGAGCCCTGATTGTGTGTGTAGACTGGGGAATGGGAAGCTGGAGAATAAGGCACTGGAGAGCAGCAGTGAGGAAACAGACTTGAGGATCCTGCTTGATGGCAAGTGGAACATGAGTTATCAGTGCCCTGTCCTGTGGGGCATCAGGCACAGCATGGCCAGCCGGGCAAGGGTGGGCGTTGTCCTGGTCTGCTCTGCACTGGGACAGCCTCACTTTATGTGCAAGAGGTTTGGGCATTACAATATAAAAAATACTAAGCTATTGGAGAGTGTCCCCTAGGAGGCCATGTGGATTTGGAGGGGAAGCTATGTGAGGAGCAGTTGAGTTTTATCTTTTCAGCTTGGAGGAGACTGAGAGAAGACCTCACTGTGATCTACAACATCCTCATGACGGGAGGGGACCTCTTCACTATCATGACCAGTGACAGACCTTGAGGAAGCAGCTGAGTCAGGGGAAGTTTCGGTTGGATATTACAGAAAGGCTTTTCACTCAGAGTGTGGTTGGGCATTGGAACAGGCTCCCCAGGGAAGGGGGCACAGCACCAAGCCTGACAGAGCTGAAGGAATATTTGGACTCTTGGGCACAAGGTGTGATTTCTGGGGTGTATTGTGCTGCAGCAGGAGTTGGATGTTATGATCCTGATGGATTCCTTCCAGCTCAGAATCCACCCTATCTGCTTGGAGGGCAGTCTGCTCCAGTTATGCCAGGCGTGGCTGCTCCCTGGAAAGAGCCATTTTGCAAGAAGTGATTGTAGTGAAGCTTTGTGCTGCCTTCAAGGCTTGTTTCCAACTGCTCTAGTAAAGAAATGGAAAACACACCTGTGCATAAAGTGCCAGGCTCCAAAAAGCTTGGGTCCTAAAAGTGGGCAGTCAGCTCCATCTGGGTGGAGATGTGCTGGTGTTCACCTGCAGGTGCCATTTCACCTGCCAGCACAAGTAAGGACACTTCCAGCAGGAGCTGGGAACCTGGGACACACTAGGCCTGGAGAAACTCCCTTCTTGTGGCCAGACTCATGGGGGCCAGGTACAGCAGCAATGATTGGGGGTTTCTGCTGTTGTCCTGTGGCCCCCCAGGACCTGAAGAAGGCTGGAGGCACCGTGCAGAGGCATGCAGAGTTTGCAGGTGCCCCTGGTGCATTCAGAGCTGCATTTCTTTTCCCCAAGAGAAGTGTTGTTGCAGTGTGAGCCTATTTCCTGTTTTACTTCGGAGTCCCTTCCCAGGTGTGGCAATACCCCTCTCCCTTCCCTCTTGCCCCCTTGATGAGTGAGTTCTGTCAATCAGGTTTAGCATTCCAGCAAGGTCATCGTGTGGTTGGTCAAGTTCAAAGGATGCTCTTCAGGCCTGGGGTCATTGGTCTGTCTAGGTGTCATCGTCCCCTGAGACCCTCCTCCTCCCACCTGGTTGGTGCTCACCTGTCCCTTCTCCTCCCCCTGTCCCTGGGCTTAAATTCAGCCAGGACCATGTGCTCGGGATTCTGTTGGAGCTGTTACCAAGATTCAGGTGTCTGTGACCATGGAAAAAGCTCTGGATATAAACCCTTCAACAGAATCCGTCTCCTTTTCCTCTTCATTCTTGCCTGAAGCCCTTCCACCCGAGGTAAACTGAGTTTCTACAAGCCTGGGTTTGTTTCAGTGCCCAGCTGCAACATCCAGCCACCCAAAAGTGTCTCTGAGGTGAAATACCACAGTTGCTGCCTTTGGCCCAGCAGCAAGGGTCAGACAAGCCCAGGCGCAATCTGCCTGGTAATATTGGGATCTTATTCCAATACAGTGTGACTTTCTAGGGCATGCTTAGGCTCAGCTTTTGTCCAAATGGTTAAAAGAGAAGGAAGGGCGTTTGCAAGAAGATGTGGTCAGTGGAGGAAGAGGACTGGGGTTAGAGCTCAGCAGAGCTAAGCTTCCTGCTGACATGGAGACAACATTGTCCTCCCTCAGCACAAAAAGGGGCTGCTCTTGTCCTTGTCCAGTCTCTGCGGACACATCATGGAGTGGACTACGCTTTTCTGTTCTCATCTTTTCAGTGTGCCAAGCAGGAAAGCTACCTTTACAGGACAGGGCATCATCTGGCTCAGAAGGAGGGCCTGTGTACGCCTGCGTGTTTTTGCAAAAGTAGTATTTGTTGAAAACAAACATGTGTTGTCTCTGTCAAAGAATGTGTAGCTCCTGTAGTGGTGTAAGGTCACTGTAGCTGAGGTCCAGGTTCTCATGTGCCATTTGGCCCTCTGAAATTTTTCATCCCTGATTCTACTGAGCAATTGATTGACTTACTAATATTCAGTATCCAGGTGAACCTTTTGAAATGGCACGTATTCTGCCCCAAAATGTGCCTCCCTTCAGGTTGGGAGGCACAAGACACAGATTAGGCTCCCAAACCCAATCCCAAACCTAGCAAATAAACTTCATTAAGGAACCTGAGAATAAGAGAATAGACTCAAGCCCACTTTACATGCATTTCAATCTAGTAATAGTGCTCACT